GACCTGTGGGACGACGATTGGGGTGGCTCAGTGTCCCTTCATGGGTAAAACGAAGAGCTCGAGCGGTCCCAGAGGTTTTTTCTGTTGGGGGCGATGGATTTGAAAGGGTTTTCACATTGACATCAGCGGACTTGGATCTTACAAGGCGGTGGTCTCGGATTAAGTCGTTTCAGAAAATACGGTGTTAAGGTCACTCCCAAATTTCTGTCGGGATTTTTGGGTAGCGAGCAAAACATCTCACTTGCTGTCCACATGGCTCGCGGGTTTGTATACTCACATCTAATTCCTGTGGCGCTCGAAGATTGAAGCTCAAGCAGGTACTGGAGGCAGCAGATGTGATCGCTTTTGCAGTTTTCCGGCCCAGGCGTTGTGCCCGGCTTTTCAACTCAAGCACGGATGTTGCAAACATAAGGCACCGGGATCACGGGATCAACCCTTAGAGCCACATAGCGGATGCTGCTGTTGATAGTCACATACGCATCCTGCATCGCGATGATGACTGTTACAACATTTCTTCAGTGATGCACCACATGAAAGGACACCACAGCTTTGCAGGGCTGCATCGATGAAGAGAAACGATGTGTATTACTTGTCGGTTTCACTGATGAGGCGGGCACCTCACGGTGAGGTGCAGGTCTTTACCCCTCGGGGGCGGAATGGGATGTTCCCCTCGTAAATGCGGAGACAAGGCCTCACAGGTTCTCGAGCTGTCGGCAGGCATGGTCACCATGGTCCCCGCCACGTGGGTAGTTCTCTAAATGAGGGTCCCTTTCTAGGTCCCCCAAAAAAGTACGGCAACCGTCTAAAACGGCCCTATAGATTCTAGAAGGGACCCTAATTTGGAGAACAACTGTTGAGGATGTAAATCCTGCATTACCTTGAGGACCCTAAACTATGGGATTTATGGTATGTTCTTTATTTGGGAAAATGCAGGATTTGTATCATGTACTCTACGATGACCAAAGAGCAGTGAAGAGCTATCTGAGATTCAGAGCTTTGATCGGCGCAGTGAGCTCCGAGCGTGACGATTCTAATATCATAGAGTGTATAGTATCATATAAATAATACAAGACAGTATAGGATAGCATAGTATATTCTAGTATAGTACAGTATAGCATAGCATGGTATAGTTTACGTAAACTCCAAACCCTAAAACCCTAAACTTTAATAGAGTACAAGATACCTTTTGCCAAGATTCCGCCTGGCCTTTCTGGCGCGAACTGGGTACCTTTGCCTCCTGCCAGCCGTCACGGCCTCAGATCTGACGAAGCAGGGCTTAGGGTTTGGGGCTTAGGGTTTGGGGTTTAGGGGGGAGAATTGTGGCAACAGCCGCGCTGAAATCGAGGAGCATTGACCGTCGCTTGAAGCCGCGCATCTTCTGCCTTTCAACACGGATTCAACACGTTGCAGTGCCCTTGTTCGCAACAGCCACCTGTGCGTTTGGTGATGCCTTGGCACGGCTGGCGCCTTGGTTTCAGAGGTCACCGAGCTCGTGCGCTGTGTTGTGGCCTGCTTGCCTGGTGCTCAGGTATCAGTAAAAACCACTGCTGGTGCTGTCCCCTATGAGTATGATTATGACCGTGGTGAACGCGCATTGCTATTACTACTACTTACTGCTGCTACCGCTTGCACTACTCCTCCACCCAGGCGTCTTCTTAGGCGGCTATTGGCATCAGTACTCTTCTTGTTGATCTTTCAATCGCCGTTGTGGTTGTTATTCGTTACGCTTGAAGCCGAAATCAAGAATTTGTTAGTCGTGGAGGTGGGAGATGGTCTCAGTCGCCGTCTTCTTGGCAGGCGCACACGAAACTCATCCCTAAAACCTAAACCCTAAACCCTAAGTCCTAAACTGTAAGCCCTTACTCTCCCAAGCCAAACGCACCTCGGGAGCCCACTCGCACGAAGCATCAATGCAAAGTTTCAGCACGGCGGATTGTGTTTGTCGGTTTAGGGTTTAGGGTTTAGGGTTTGAGGGTTTGAGGGTTTAGGGTTTAGGGTTTAGGTGGTGTCAGTGGTGGCTGGGCCATGGCACAAGTCCTCGAAATTATGGTCGACGGCCTGCTTGCTGCTTTGATTCTTCCAAGAGTCGGCGCAGCCCTCCGACGAGAGATCCTTTAACCATGCCCAAAACCCACGAACCCGAACTCTGCATTCCGGAGGGACCATGATGTTTTTCGCGTGGATCGCAGTGACGGTCTTCAAGGACTTAGACCGTGGGACCGAGGCGCAGCCAGTTGAGGGTTTGGATTTTCGGATGTGGTTCGTGTGAGCCTCAGGTGGTGGTGACGACGCGAAAGAGAGTGATGATGCTGATGTTGTTGAGTTTGCTGCTGCTGCTGCTGATGATGATGATGATGTGATGAAGATGATGGTGGTAATGATGATGATGCGATGATCGGCCTTCCCGCAAAATCAACCAATGCTGTTTACGCATTTCCGGATGCACCGGTTTAGGGTCTGGGGTGTAGTATGAACCACCATCCTAAATCCTTCACCCTAGATACCCCGAAACACGAAATCCCAAGCGTGGTTTGGTGACCTCATCAAGGTTTGCAAGCGCGAGTAAGGCGCCTCGTTTAGGGTTCAGGGCTAAGAGCTCCAGAAGAGCACGCCCAAAAGCCGCGAGGCCCGAAACCCCCCGGCCCCAATCCCACGTCCCTCAACTCCCAAAAGCCTCGAACCATAACGCCCCTACCTCTGAAAACGAACCTGAGCTGTTGGTAGATCTGCCCCTAAACCCTAAACCCTAAACCCTAAACCTTAAACCTCAAACAAGGGAACCCTAAACCCCTAAACCCTAAACCCTAAACCCTAAACCCTAAACCCCAAACCCTAAACCCTAAACCCTAAACCCCAAACCCTAAACCCCTCCAGGGCTTCACGTCACTCAAAGAGTCGATGAACTCCATGTTCATCGCGGGAGTTCGGGCCTCGATCGGGGCTCGCCGCTCGGGTTTCGCATGTAGCGGTTCATGTTAGGGGTGTAGGGGTTTAGGCTACACAAATCTTGGGAGAGTAGGCTTCAGTAGGGACTTGGGAATTGGGTTACAAGCTTCCGGATGAAGGGTTTAAGCCCTAGTTTCTTGGGTCCCACATCGCGTAGGTTTGGGTGAAGGGGCCGTAACTCTTTGTTGCTCGGTTTTCGGGGCTGCGGGAGTCCTCCCGACTATGCCTGTAATATAGGGGCCTAAATAATTACCAATACTATTTTGGGGGTTCCTTATTATAGTTATAGCATAACATACCCCAAAACCCTACCATAAGGGCCCCTATATTACAAGTTGGTTGTGAAGAATGTAGTGAAGACGAAGACAGAGGAAGACGTCGTGGACTATACTGACTATACAAACAGAAGAAGCGAGTCTAAGACCATAAAACACCTAAGATTCCAAAGATCACCGGAGAGTAGCACAGCAGTGCAAAACAGATATATGATATATACACAGAGATTCAGAAGCCTGGAATGTAAGAATCTAGCTCAACTAGCGGCCCTCGCAAAGATAGCTAGCTTCGGATGAATGAATCCCCAGAGTGCCCATCGGAAAGCACGGCGGAGCCCAGGTGTCAGACGAGTTTGTCAGCGTTTTTCTCAAGCCACGATCTCGGCTCATGTCCCGGGCTTGCAGGAGGCTCCCAGCGAGCAGCAGCCTTCTTCCGAGGGACCTGGACCCCTCAATAAGTAGAGCTGTTCCCCCTTAACTCCAAGCCGATATGCCAAACCCGAAGCCCATAAACTCCCCCTCGACGGCGACCTAGTCTCATCTTTATTCTGCTAGACGTTTCCAGCATGCTCAGGTCCTATACCGCTTATCGGTACGTGGGGGTGCGTGGCCCAGGGTGCCAGAGTGTTGCAATAACTTCTGACTGTTGGACATTCTTTAGGACCACGGCAGATTGCCATTCGAACGCAGGGATGAGCCCCCCAACCCGAAGTGCACCCTGTCTCTGTCCTTTCTATGTGTATAGAGTCTCTGTACATATATAGATAGATAGATAGATAGATAGATAGATAGATATAACTACCTATATTACCCTAAATCCTAAACCCTAGTTTACCCTTCCTTTCCCTGAGATCCTCTGGCTGATGTTCCTGGTGATTGCCCACGTCTTGCTCCTCAGCTTAGCAGGAGCCCGAGTTCTGCGAGATCTCTTGGCTTCTGAGTGGCTGGTAGTATAAGGCCTTCAATAGCTGAAACAGGGGTTCTTTAAAGGGCTTTATAGGATTTCATATGGGTTAAGATAGTCTAGGATTAGGGTTCCTGTCTTCTAGAAAAGCTTTATCAAGGACTTTTCAGGGTTTGAAGCCCTGCCCCTCCCCGGGTGAGCGCCTGCTTCTCAGAAGAGTACTAAGGCTTGCGCCAACCGTAAGACAAGCGTAAGACGAGCAACGCGTTCCAAGGAAGAAAATGGTAGCAACAGTGATAATCAGAGTAAGCACCATAATAGTAAATTCAAGCAGAAGGGCAGTAGAAAGAGTTGTTGAACACCAGTCCTAGCAGCAGCGGTGGCAGCAGATGAGTTTAGAAGGTAATCTTACAACAGTCAACAGCAATGAACGCAAGATGGTGGTGGTGGTGGTGGTGGTGGTAGTAGTGGTGGTGGTGGTGGTGGTGGTAGTGGTGGTGGTGGTGGTGGTGGTAGTGGTGGTAGTCGTGGCAGATGGTGGCAGTAGTAGCAAGAGCATCAGCATCAGCAGCAGCATCAGCAGCAGCAGCAGAAGGGCTAGTAGCAATGTCAATAATGATAGTACAACTCGCAGGACTGGTGTAGTAGCAGTCATTGTCATACCGGTCATCGTATTGCTGGTAATCGGAGCCGTAGTATTGGTGACTACCGGCATTGTGGGAATCAGTCAGCTGCACATTGCGGCTTGATGCGAGACAAATAGGCCCGCTTCGCACGTGCAGCGTAGGCGGCCCCCTGACGAAAGATCTAGGGTTTAGCGGCCCTAGATATTAAACCCGAAACCCCAAACCCAAAGCTCCAACTCCCTCAAGCCTACGGCGCTCCGGACCTGTACCCCGTTGGCCAACTCTGCAATTATTGCAGAACCTTCAGGTCCTGGACACGCTCTGCCAAAGCCTCAACACTCCGATGTCTGAATTTGCAACCGTTTTGGGTGTAGGGTGTAAGGGTTAAGGGTTAAGGGTTTAGAGTTTAGGGTTTAGGGGTTTAGGGTTTTAGGCCAGACAGGGCGGGTGCCTTGTTTTTGCTGTGTCCTTTAAGGCATGTTGATTCTACAGACGTCAGGAAAGGAGTGCAAAGTGTTCAGGCTTGTGGATTAGATGAGGGTTTAGGGATCAGATTCCAGTGTTCAGGTTTCGGGGTATTCAGTGAAAGATTTCGCGGCCAAAATCTGATTCGATCTGAGTTTGGGTCCCAAGCTGCCACTGCAGATGCTTTGCTATTCTTTTAGATTTTAGGGTTGGGGGGCTCAGGATTGTTGCGGGTTTTAGGGTTTACCACGGTCACTGCCTTAGCGGTGATGTTGGTGTGAGCACAGCTGCCCGCACATGATGTGTCATGCAGCATCCTTCTTGCCGGCCACCAAGTTCTACTGGATCTCAGTGAGCCATAGGAAGATAGACTGCATCAATAGTGCCCTTCAGCCAGGCTGGGTCCAGGTGCTACGAGGTTTTGCTGTCGACTTGTCCACCACTCGCGTAGATGTGGTCCAAGAGGGCTCTTCTGTGTAACATGGTGTCATACATGGTACCATGTAATTCCCTCAACCCTAAGCCCTAAACCCTAAACCCTAAACCCTATTTAATGGGAAGTCCAGCTAGGCTGTTGAAATCGGCTTATCGCCCTAAACCCCGTTCACGTGAGGTGCAGCCTACATGTCCTACTCCGAGCAGCGCACGGAGGCGTGAGCGAGAGAGATCACACATGGCACTCTGCTGTTCTCCCTGAACGATGGCTTTTGTCGATGCATGTGTCCCGAAGGCGAGCTAAGGCCGTAAAGACTCCATGTCAAGACCGTGTGAGCTTACTTGTTGTTGCTGTGTAATGGTTGCTTTTGTTGTGCCCATCGCCATCATGACTTTCTCCATTTGTGTTTTCTTCTTTGTTTGATGTTGCTTCCCTTTTCATACTTCCATACAACTACGTTTGTCATTATCTTTGTAGCCATAGCAACGATTAATTGGTGTGCGGTAAGACTTTAGGGATGTGTTTGAGGGCAAGTCGGTGCGCCGCACACCTTCCCGCACCGATGCCTGGCCCGAGCAGGAATGTTTACAAGGCAGCGGCAAGGCCAGACTTTTACAGATCCTACGGAACCATGTCAGCATCGACAATATCACCGTCATCATCAGGGTCATCACATCAGCATTAACACTGTGACCATCATCATCATCGTGGTCATCATCATCATCATCACCATCACCATCAGCACGAATGCTGTATCTATCGTCAATGTTGTTGCTGGGGATGTTCTTACGCTGCTTATCGATTCTACGGCTTTGCTTGCTGTTGCCAGCACTGCCCTCGTCTGTTCTCGCGGGAGACGAAGCAGCCAGAATCCTAGAGTTGAACACTTGCATATGCGGCCGTTGCTCAGGAAGTAGCAGACAAGCGCATCGAGGGCATGTGGAAGGACGGCGCGTTGTGCGTGCGGATATAATGGGGACGAGTGCCACATCTGGGATACTAGGATGTTGATTTGAGAGTTTCGTTTCATTGGAGAATTCCTGAGCTCACAAGTCCCTAATGTTTGTACCTGCAATTTAAGAGGGCAGGGTGGTCAAAACGCCGCGCTTATGCTTGGGGACCTGTCCTCGAACTCGGCGACCCGTGCACCGAGTTTTGGTTTCCAGTGCCATCTTCCTCTTGAATTTCATTGCTGGGGTCGCTGGCATTCAGGATTTAGGCTTCAGGTTTGGGTTTAGGGCCCTAGGGTTTGGGATTTAGGATTTAGGTTCGGGCTTCTCTTTCCAAGCCTTCCTGCACTCCAGGCCTTCACTACACTGGTCGAGGCCACAGGCAACAAGGAGCAGGAGGCCGCACTCTAAACCGTCCTCAGATTTCGACTACAGTCTTGTTTTTCGGGCCTCTGCGTGTGCAGCCTGAAGCCTCCCTGAGCACATGCATGCGTGCTGTGTGTATATGCAATATATATATATACACACACACACACACTGTCACACACATATGCATGCATGTGTGTGTACGACGGGTGTGTGTACCCATGTATGTACATACGTATGTATGTATCCACACAGATATGTTCTGCAAATGTCCCGATGAATACACGCATGGATGCCTGTGTGTGGTCCATGGGCTGGGAGGTTTAACCCCGACAGCATTAATCCAAGCAGTGAGCCCACGCAACAACGCATGGTACCAGGCAGTTGCATGTAAGAGTAGGCAGTACGCTCCGCAGCGGAGACCAGGTCTCGCAGGAGTACTTCTTCCTGTTTCTGGAGGCCGTGGCTTGCATCACTGTTTGATTTCGTTTGTTTTTTGTCGTATCTTACGGTACTGTGTTGCCGTACTTGGTCATTGAGTTGAAGTGAGCCCAGGGTCTCGTACCCATGCAGTAACCTGTTGGTGCGTGATTCTAGTGTGCTCTACTGGTACTTGGTGACTATGTTCTTTGCTGTGACACAAGTGCATAGTCAGATGAGGAGATGCCAGTAGCTATATCTACACATCTGTTTGTACAGCAACAAAGCAACGTAGGAACATGAATAGCATGCCAGGGTTACCTCGAGACAGCATGATGAAACATCCGACCGGTGAAGTTGAATCTCCGAATAGTACATACTGGAGAAACGGCACAGGACCGCGATGTTGAACTAGTCAGGACGAGCATGTTCGATCTAGCACCATAGGAGTCATGAGACGCCAGAAGAGCAAGGTCCGGCAGCACTCCGTAGGAGTAATGTGAGCACGTGAGAGCAGTAGCAATGATATGAGAGCGGTGGCCCAGGCCATGCATTGAACTGAACCATTGTACTCACCAAAATATTCCAGCGATGAAGAGATGCACTGGGCGTATGATCAAACGAACCCAAGACCTCCAAACGCCGAAACGCCTAAAGCCTACATGAGCCTCAACAGCCCCAAAAAAACTTAAACCCCAACACCCCTAAACCCTAAATCCCAAACCCCCCCAAACCCCGGGATATGAGCACCAACACCTTCCCAACGAAAGGAGATCAGCAATTCTCCGCGATCTGTGGGCATTTCTCCAAAGGAGGCTCGCACTCCAAAGACCGCAGACAGGTCAACTGAGGGGTTTTCGATTCAGGGTTTAGGGTTTAAATGGTTTAGGGTTTAAGGGTTGATTGACGCGTTTAGGATGCAAGGCTGTATGGGGTTAGGGCTCAGCTTTGTAGGGTGCAAGGATGTCGGGTTACGGGTTTTGGCTGAAGAAGACTTTCGGCATGTGCAGTCGCCGCCAGGCCCAGATCATGTGGGATGCCATCGATCGCGTGCGCCCGGCAGAGTGTGCACAGAATGTAACATATGCAACACATTCTTTGCCTTGTTTTTTTAGTCTCTGAAACGCAGTGCCAATCGTATCAGTATTACAACTCGTGTTTGGTGCTTGTCAAGGAAGACCGTGCCAGAGATGAAGGCTCCACTTGTACGTTTGGAGACTGAGCTCCAAATCAACAACACTCCGCACGGCAAACAACTTGAAACACACAACCCTAATCCCTAAACCCTAAACCCCTAAAGCCCACAACCCTAAACCAAAACCTGAACCCTGAAGCCATGTAGCTTCGTTACATTACGCCAGCAACTTCAATTCCTCAACCCTGAACCGATAACTGGCGATAGCCTCAGAACCGCGAGCGTAACCGCAAGAGACAAAGATAGGTTTATCGCCTAGACCTCGACCTGGAACCCTAAGCCCTAAGCCCTAAACCCTAAACCCTAAGCCCCTAAACCCCCAAACCCTAAACCCCTAGACCCCTAAACTCCTAAGCCCCTAACCCCTAAACCCTAAACCCTAAACCCTAGACCTGGAACCTTTGCTTAGGGTTCCAAAACCCAAAGCCCCAAGCCATGAATCCCCAACCCCAACCCCCACGCCTCAACACTGAAGCCTAGAGAGGACAGATCGGGGAGCATCGAGCGGGAGGAGCCCAGGGCTTAACTTTCGATGCTTTGGGAGACCAGGAGCCACGGAATTGGGGTTGAGGGTTGAGGGTTTAGGGTTTAGGGTTTCGGGTTTAGGGGTTTAGGGGTTCAGGGTTTAGGGTTTATATAGGGGT